AAGGAAGGAAGGAAGGAAGGAAGGAAGGAAGGAAGGAAGGAAGGAAGGAAGGAAATTACAGATAGGAAGAAAGGAAGGAAATTACAGGTAGGAAGGAAGGAAGGAAATCATAGGTAGGAAAGAAGGAGGAAGTACGGAGAGCATACAAAGAAGAAAAGGGTGAACAAGAACAAATAAATGGAACAAGAGGGAAATGAATCAAATAAGGAAAGATAACAGGAAGAAGGAAAAAGAAATAAAAACATTTTCCATTCTCATTCCCCTACCCCATATTCAGGAGCACTTGTCTCTTTTTTCTCTTGGAGCTGCTGCAGGAGCTTAATCTCTTGCACCTTTAGTGCTCGATTCTTCTGATAAAACTTTTCCAACTGGGTGACCTTTTTTTGGTTCATTACAGAATTTGGAAGAATATAATGAATAAAAGAGCAAATGAACATATACTTTAGCTAAAAACAGTATGTGTTTGTTGGATAAATAAAATAAGTGTACAGAACATGTTCAAATATTTTTTTAAGCATGTGCTGATATTTGACTGACACCAGTTTTTACCTTTGATTTGTCTTCAATGTGCTGGAGTATATTCTCAGGCATCTCCAGATGGCTGTCCTTGGTAGGTTTAAAAAATCTGATTTCAAAATCATTTTTCACCTTCTTGATATCATTTAAACGCAGTTCAGATTCTTTTAAGGAGGACTGGAAAACAAAGCAGATTGTCTAATAAATGTCCCACAAGTGTCTAAATGAGTGTTTTAAAACGTTAGTAGTAACCTTGTAGTTTTCTAGAATTCTCTCATATTTCGTTTTTAGTTTCTCCATATCTTGCTGGGTCTCGGTTACTTCTCTCTGTGCCACATAAAGTTTTTGCTCCAAGGTGAGCAGCTGGGGAACCTCAGATAAATTTGACAACGGCCTCTGTCCCCTTTCAATTTCCTAAGGGGATAAACCAAAGCAGGTGGGTTTATCACATCAGAGTAATTTGTCTTTAAACTTTATGACAATGCAACAGGTTGATTACATACTATCACAACCCCTCAGTCCTAGTTGTTTTTAAGTAATTCAGATAAAAAATTATAAATTGGATTACATTAGCGAACATAAAGCAATCAGAATCCTAATGATGATAACCTGTGAAAAATACAGCTGGTTGATACTCTAATATTGTGGGTTTTTGTTGTTATTTGCAGTCATACCAGATTACAGTAACAGAAAACATCTAGTAATCCACAATGTGACTGTTTTATATGCTCCATTAGAGGAGATTCATTGTGGTATTTAGCTCTATATCAAAAACAGCAGTTTATCTGGATCTGGTTTGTCAGTCCGGTTGGTAAACTAACATCCTCTGTGGATCTGTCTTTATTATGATGTGGCACTACTTATTGCTCTAATGTTACTGGTTCTTCCTTTAACAATGTATTTGTTTTGTTTTTTTCTAAATGGATAACATGGATAACCCCTTCTTACCCCGCTGTATAATTTTGAGTCTCCTGTAGATTGTGGACTGTCTCCTCCAGTCTTAGACACTAAGTCCTGAGGTATCAAACGTCTAATAAAGTTTTCAAACATGACATTTTCTGTCCGAAGGGCCTCATTAGAACACCTATGGAAAAAAAATTAAAGATCTTTATTGTCATTATAGATGGTATAGGAAAATCTAGGATGGCATTATGTTGACAAATAATCTAACAAAAGCAAGAACATTAAACAGGAAATGTTAGTAGGCCTACATGGTAAACTGATGTTTGTCTATGTAAGGTGTATGTGTAATGTGATTATGTATTTATTATGTTTTTTTAAACATGTTTATAGTAAATGGGCTTAGCATCTATCTACGCATGAAAACTGCTTCATTAGAAATAACAAATGTAATCAATTGGGCAAAAATATAGTTAATTAACACATATTTTAAGTTGCCAAAATCATCACACTGTTTTAGATTGTTACCTGAGTTCCTTTATTTGGTCGCGAAGAAGTTGTTTCTGTTTATTAATGAGATATTCTTCTTTTGCTTCTATCAACAGCTCGTCCTCCATGGTTGCTAAAAGGGAGGAAATGTAAGCAGTGGTTGCTAAGGACACGTGTTGCCTTCACTTGCATCAAGTAAACACCCCTCTCATTCCGAAAATTTTGATGGTTAATCGTTTCATTAACAAAATTAAGAGTGATATGCAAAATTAAAATAAACTTAACTTACACACAAAGCTATGTTAATTTAAATACATTGTGCTGATAGCTGTTTAGTTCGAGGAATGAATATAACCAGTGACATACTGCCCTTTAATTTCCATATAAACCGAAACTTATCCGTTTTGGTTTCAGTTCAGTGCAAATTGCCCTTCCCTTTTCTCGGTTCGGTGGTGATTGTTTGATAACACTTTTGTCGGGATGGCTGCGACTATCTCCAATTTAATTTTTAAGATTCTGTGTGATAATGACGGTTGTTTAGATTTAAGGCAGCTGAATGCGGAACTCGCACGGAGCAGTTTTGGTGTTAAAGTGGCGAACCTGCGCTCCGTCCTCATCGATGACGGTAAAATTGCGATTCGGACTAACAAACAAAGATGCCCGGGGCATGACATCGGGCCTGACAGTCTGATAGTCGCTAAAACCAGTCTGAGACTTTGCCAGAGAAAAGCTGGGGAATGCACCCAGTGTGATAGTTTACACCTGTGCAGGTATTTTGTCTGCGGAGGTTGCACTTTCGGGTGAGTTTCTATCTATTCTATCTAGTTCAGCTTTGCAAGAAGTTACTTCGGAATTCGGTGCGATATAAACTCTTATTCACAGGTTTTATAGACTTTATGGAAATTAAGACTACTGCACATTTCAATGGAGGTTTTTGCATAAGCAGGGCCGTAACCAGGATTTTTGAAACATCGAGGTCAAATATTGCGATAATTCTTACTTGACAAAAAAAACAACAACATCCTAATATGGTGACTTTTTAAAATATATTTTGGAAATGTGAATAAAGAGTTTAACACATATTATATATAATTTTTATTATATATAATTTATATATTATATACTTTTGTCCATGTGCATTGAAAGCTTTAAAATAGCTTTAGCAGAAATCTGTATTCTTCATAATGCAACAAGAGCAACACAACTAGGCTACCTCAAGAAAAATGTAGAACTATTTCATTCTAATATTTTGCTCTGTTTGCATCAATATTTTTAAGTAGGCTCCGACTGTAAAATAAAATCCTAGTGACAGTTACTTGAAATGCTTGCTGACGTGATGAGCATCCTATTCCTAGCCGTGCTTTGAATGATATTTTCAATTCAGTTTATTTGTATAGAGCCAATTCACAACACATGTCATCTCAAGGCACTTTATAGTTCACCAGATCATACAGTCAAATTGATTCAAAGTTTTCTCTCTAAGGAAAACCAGTTGATTGCATCGACTCATTGACTCGAATGCAATCCCTTATACTAAGCATGCTTTTAGCGACAGTGGAGAGGAAAAACTCCCTTTTAACAGGAAGAAACGCCTAGTAGAACCAGGCTCAGTGTGAGCGGCCATCTGCTCAGGCTGACTTGGGTTCAAGGAGACAGAAGCAGAGATACAAAAAGCAGCTGTAAAAAGGCGGCCCCGTCCAGGAAACACACAGCCGGGCAGACGAGCGCCGAGCCAGCTCCCATGTCAGAGGATGACGAGAGCACATCTAGCCAGTCCTACTCAGAGAAACAGGACTACACTTGAAAACAGGCCGATCTCCAACATCTATATTCACTGGTGAAATGAACTCACCTCCCTCTTTTCCCCCTGACCTGTTGGCTTTCTAAAGCTCAGTTTACTTTGTTTCAGCGTAGATTTCTTCATCTTGCCTCCATTTCCAGATTCCACCACTAAGAATTGCTAGCCTGTTCTATCTTGTGGTGTTCAGGGCGTGGGTGGCTGACTTTGGCGAAGGAGCTGCGTAATATGATAGAATGCAATGTTGGATCCGCTCAGTTTTAAAATAACGTGATGTTATAAGGTGATTGTGGACTTTATTTTATTTTTTAACAAATGAGAATGCATGCACACCAATCAAATTTAGACCAATTTTTATCATATAGTTTGACATTTCTCTGAATTAAAAATAAAATAATATTAATAATTTAAAAAAAAAAAGGGAAAATACAGAGTACATGACCTCGGTGTTTTCAGTGCTGGTTACGGGGCTGCATATAAGCTGTCACTGGGTCGTCCAGCAAACTCTAACAACTTCCTCAGTATTACTGACCAAACCTGAGTAAAACTGACAGAAATCATGAAATCACAGGTTGCTAATAACTGGTCTACCTGAATAAACAAAAATAATTTTCGTCTATCCTTAATAGTTTTTTACGTATTTACTTATTTAAGAAAACCATTAGCTGTAGTTATTCAATATAGGCCTATGTATTCTTAAAGTGAGTTTGAATTAGAACATTTGTGATTATTTATTCAACGACCTTTATTCAGTTGTGCAACTATTGATCTTCAGTCTCAGCTTGATCTATTTGAAATATCTAGGTAGCTAAACCATTCTTCCTAAATAAAAGAAAAACACATAGTACATGTTTCTTTTTATTAGAATCAATATCTTTTTATTGCATCCAGGAACCTCTTAAAGTTAAAATGCTTAAATTTCCAATATGTTCTGTAAATTTCCTGTATTCAGAGTTACCAAGTTTCTCTATTCAAAAAAGATTTTTTCAGCTTTAACAACAAATTTGTTTTACCCCAAAAAAAGCAGCAGATGGCAGTATTTAGCATTATTCAGCCATGTATCTTGACCAATCAGATCCTGACCAATTTCCCCTTGTTATTTAACCATAGTAACTACAGGCTGTTTCTAACTAGCTTCAAATTCAATTTAAGATACTTTAGAATAATTAAAACCAAGAAACAACAGCATTAAGGGACAATTTATAGATTTTTAAACATTAAGAGCGTATCTATGAAGCTACATTTATTTCAGTGTGCTAATTTTATGTTGTACACTGTTGTCATTTTAGACCAAAGTGTAAAAATCCGCACAGTCTGGCTTCCTCACACAACGCGGAGATTTTAAAGAGATATGGTCTTCAGGATTTGACAGAGAAACAACTCTCGCAGCTTTTATTGCAGAATGACCCTTTTCTGCTTCCTGAGGTGGGAATCGCTGACTAAAATATAAATAAAGATTATCTCTCTCTGCGCTTTAAAATGTTCTATTCATTCTATTCAGTTATCTTCTATAGGTTTGTCCTCATTACAATAAGGGTGATGGTCTGTTTGGCTCCTGCAAATACCCCACCTCCTGCAGAAAGCTTCATGTCTGCCAGCATTTCCTCCAGGAGGATTGCAAGTTTGGCTCTGGATGCAAGAGAAGCCACAGAATTGATGAAGAAGGCATTAAGCTTTTCAAAGGATTCAGTCCGGGGAATATCCAAAGCCTCTACAAGATCTACAGGAATAAATTCATCATCACTGCAAAACAAGAGAGTCAAGCTGTTGTTCCAGGTAACTACACTTTGTTTATGTTCACTTTTTTACCGTCAGAGAATATTCGACATACATCCTTGCATTTCAATCAGTGTTTCCAGCGGTGACATCTATTCGTCAGCCGCCTTCCCAGCAGCCTTTGAAAATCAGCTCTGGACCCCCCTCCAAACCAAACAGCGATGTCGATAGGCATGAAATCTGTCTCTTTAATATTCGCACAACCTGCAGCTTTAAAGGTACCTGCTGCTGGTAGAGCTGAGCTCTTACATCTAAGGTAAAGTTCATCCATAAGCAGTGTTAATGCTCTTGGTTTTCCATCACAGAGAACTGTGTGCGTGTCCATTGGAACCTACCTTACAAATGGGAGGTCTTAGACACAGATGGTGTAACTTGGAAAGACTTGCCTGATATGGAAGAAATTGAAAAGGCATATTCTGACCCATCATTGAACACTAGCTGCATGGATCCTCTCCTCTCTGGGTTATTTGCTATGACTCTGAATCTCAGGTAAATAAGAAGGCAAATGTTCACCGTTAACTGTTAATATAGTCAAACCTAGTAAAGGCGTCAACGAAAAATGTATGAATGAACGTATTTACCTTATTTTACTCTGACGCAGTCAAATAAAATGTATTGTGGACAGTTTTCCAAAAAGTTGTGAAGCCTGGTGTGTGAAGACATATTAATAGCATAAAGGTAATCTAATTTTCTTTCAGATCTGCATCTATAAATCAAGAGTATGTTGACTTTAAAACCATGACCTATCAGGGCTCTCCGGTCCGCCGCCTGTCCACTGCGTCTTCTGTCTTACATCCACCACACTTTATTCTCACAACTCAGTGGATCTGGTACTGGAAGGAAGACGATGGATCGTGGATCGAGTATGGAAAGGTGATAAAGAATTGATTGTTCTACTTTTTTGGCCTAATTATTCCAGAAATTATCATTAATAACTCTTATTTCTTCTGCTGCTTTACTTCTGACAGGGGTTTTAAGGTATAGAGGAAGATCTTTTATTTTCGGGTGGATCATCTAAATAACTGGTCTTCCTAATTGTCAATCATTCTGGTGATATGTTTACGTAAGGCCGTCCTACATGCTCGTCCTGTTAACTATATTTTTCTTCGCATGCATACTTTCAGGCATATACCTTTGGTGAGCTACAGTTTCAGACAGTCATTGAAGGCCACTTTTTCTTATGACCCTCGGCCATTGTCAATGAAAATGGCCGAGGGTCATAAGAGAAAAATGTCTACGAAGTGTATGAGGAAAAAAACAAAGACCTCAGAAGAGTCAGATATATCCTAGAATGCTTTGCCCGGAGAGCTCTCCTCACAAAGCATTATGGGATTTGCTGTCAGAGCGTCCCTAATCACAAAGATGGCGCAGGCGCCGCAAAGTAAAGGAGAAGTTACGTGCCCAACAGAGCAAAAAGTCCACTATATACTCCCCACTCTATATAGTGATTTAGGGGTTAGGGCGGACGTTTGGGCACAGTAAGCTTGTGTGAGTTATGAAAACAGCAACTTTTAAACAGAGTGTGCATGAGGAGAAATGGGCTCATGCATGCTC